CTTTCCCTTTCCCGTTCTCGCTCTCTTTCCTTTAAAGACAAACGAGAATTCATCATGACAGTTTGGTAACACCTCCTAACAAAAAAGACAGCACAGTTTTGAAGTCTCAGACTACAAGCAATTATAGAAGCTCTCCCATGTTAGAGCAAAGTATTGAGGAAAGATTGGAGTTTGGTGGCCAGTGTTTCCTGATTAGGTAGAAAGTGGAGAGGAACAAAACACTGCATTATACTCATCATGGTTATAATTTTCAAAGGCAACAGTCAAAGATTAATTTGGCTTATTACTTCCATTTAAGAAACATGCATTGATGCTTACAAGTATTTACTCGCGTTGCTAACCATATTTATAATAAGCTAATTAACTTTGCAAATAAGCAACATGAAAATAATTGTTGGTGCACCTTACGTAACTACAGTTAGGACAGGCTCCTGTCTATGCACCACTTGTGTAACATAGCAAGGTTTAACAGCAAAAGGAGAGCCAATTTTTTAAGGATGTGCCAAATACCACTGAAAAGCATCCCACTGAGCACGAATTATTTTTTGCCGTTACTGCCAAGGCACAACGGTTTGCACCAGGGCTAAAGGAAGGGGAGGGAAAAGGTTAGTAGCCTTGTTTTCACTGAGCGCTAAACCTTACAGCAGCGCAACACCAACTGACTGCATCTAGGATTCTCGCAAATGGCTAGATGCTTTCCCTTACCTGACTCAAAGCGGCTAATGTGCGCTTCCATCAGTGATGGACAGTCATACTGGAGCCTACCTTCTGTACACAAAACATACCTGTCCACATCTAATCCTTTCTGTCTGTCCCAATATCTAACAAGTAAACCGTTCTTCAGTCAGATTATTTCCTAGAAACTCCCTCCCTCGTCAACTTTTCCAAGAATGGCTGCGGCTGCAATTGTAAACAAAAGCGCTGCACAACTGCCTACATCCTTTGGGCCACGCAAGAGAGGAACAGCCAACGCTCACAAAGAGGAACCACCTGCGGTTAGGAGAGCGGGAAGGGCTACATCTGGCAGGGCCGTCGACTTCCCGTCTCAGTCGCCTGCTTTTGCCCCCAGCACGCTGAAACAGAACGCGCTCCCGAATGTGCACCTGGAGCGCGTTCTGTACAGTAATTGAGCAATTCAAGATTTAACTATTTGAGAGATTAACAATCTTGAGCATACAAGAAAGAAATCCTCTTTCAACAACTATATCGGAAACACGACAAGCACCGGAGTACCTGGAAGAAAGTTTACAGGAAAAGTGTGGAAAGGGGTATTACCTTACTTACTCTGTAGTTACGATACGGATCTGGGTCTGTATACTGAACCCTGAAATTCTCATACTGCCCACCACGCCAGAACCGTTCTATTTCATAGTCATAATAGGGATCTGTATAAGGATCAAGCCTACAATGAAAAACAGGGTAGGTTAGAGAGGGAAACATCGCCTTATCACCGTACAGAAACACTACACATTCTAGGTCAGGTTTTAGTCACTGCATACTGACAAGAAAAAACACGTTCAATGGAGTATGACTATACAAAGTGGTTATTTTCCACCTATCCCAGACAGACAGAAACAGTCTTTTTTTTAAAATGATGCTTATCAGAGAAAAGCACAAAGCTTTCCTGGTAAACACCAAAAAGAACACTACTAACCAAATTCAGCCCTCAAATCAATGTGGTAAAAATGCAGACACACCAATTGCTTTTTTATAGCTACTTCAAAAGCATGCAAATGTAGCAGAGGACATGTTTTGCCCCGTTGATTTAGAACGGCACTTTCTGTCCGTGCGCTCGCAGCTAACCTCAAGCCCCCTCGCGCAGGCCCAGCGGCGGAGGAACAGACTGATCTCTGCTACTCTCGCAGAGGTGCGGGGCGCGTATCAGTTATGACTGTACAGGAAACAAGCTCTGGCTGAGCTTTCCACCCAGAGAGGCTCAGCTGCAGAGGCCGGCCTGGAATGCTGCGCCCTACGTGTGAAATTACTTCATGCAAAGAAGGTAACCACGTTTGCAGCGGATATTCTCCGGCGGAAAACAAACGCTGGCCCTCCAGCACACAGACAGACTCGCAAGCACAACACGCCCTACTCGGCTGCAAAGTTGTTAATCCTTTGTGTGAGGAAAAGGATCTAAAAACCACCCTCCTAAAATCGACAACATCTCCTCCATGTAATGATTTCTATTAACATTATTTGATGTTTTTAATTCACATGCCCAACAATAACCAATCCCTGCCGGGGAGACTGAAAAATATCACATCCATTGTAAAGATGGGGAGGTGGGTACAGAAAACCAGAAACTTCCAGGACCACAGAGGAGTCAGTGGCAGAACTAAGAGTCAAAACAAGTGCTTTCAAATTCTAGGTTACCCTTAATCAGACTCTAACTTGCAAGTAGGGAGAATAACAGGCCCACTTTTACATTTAAAGTGCTAAATAAGTGAACACCAGCAAAAACGTGAGCGCTGCCCTGCGAGTCAGGTTGCTACCTATATTTCTTGGAGCGCTTTTAAACATGTTTAAAATTTCTATGCATCTGTTTGAAACGATAAGCCAAGGGGAAGACTACCAGGGAATCTTGACTACTGATGCTTAATTCAGCAGCAAACTTCCTGATGTCGACTAGATAACAGGCTAGATACAGTGGCATCAGGTGTTCAAAAAGAGAGAAAAATCTCAAGCTACCCCAGAAAGGAAGCTCTTTACTTTTTTGACCCAGCCTCAAATTCAAAGCTCCCCATGCCCTTCCTATAACATTTGTGCGTGTTTTACTCATTTAAACAAGCACCACTGCTATGCATTTAAGACAACTGTGGATAATTGAGTTCTTAAATCCTTGGGTAAATAATTGGTATCGTCCAAAAATTAAATACATTTATTCCATTAATGAACTGCCAGCCACACCTGATGGGACCAGTTCTCTGTGGCCTAGGAAGTTTTAAGAAGTGCAATGGGAAAAAAGGAAAGGGAATATTTTCTTACAGTTGCAACAGTACTGGAATCAAAGACCTGCTTACCCATAGTTAATGTTTTCTTTGATGTCCACCTCCCTATAGTTTTTCAAAAAAGAAAAAGGGATTCATGAACTATTTAGGCATCTTCATATGTCACAAGACAGTCCTGAAAGCAATTTATTAACATTCCACCTGAATCACCAGTGGTTAGTTTGCTGCAAAGTGTCAATTCGTGCAATGAGTGTGCATATGAGACAAAAATCACCATTTTCTAGAGTTTATAAAAGTAGCAACTTCATAACTTTTCCCTTTACACGGAATTAATATATTTTATGCCACAGTCTGGTTATACATAAGGGTTCTTGGATTTTCAGAAATTCCATGTTTGATTACTTCTATTTGACACCAGCTGCATACAACATAACACTTTTTACTTGAGTATTGGAAAACAACACAGCCCTGTATCTAACAAAGCAGTTCTTACATCAATTAGACAGTGGCATAAAACAACTAGAACACTGATTTAAGATATAAGTTTTCCACATCAAATTAAAAAATAAGGATACTGTAACAGTCAAGCTACAGAGCGCTGGTGATAATACATCCCAAGTGCAATTCAAAGTTCTCAGAGGAACGTAAGACCAAGATACAGACTGATTTTCTACACAGGAAAAAATTAACGTTGGCAGAAACTGCTATTTTACAGCCTGCATAACTGAGCACATAGCTTCTTTTTATAAAATGAGGGAAAGGAACTGCACTTCACTCCAGAGCAAATCAAAGCCTATTGAACCAAAGCTTAACCTGCCTTTTTTTTTTTTTTTTTTTGCGCAATTCATTCACTCAAAATAGATGGATCCAAAGCCTTGCAAACACTTTCTCTGTGTTTAAGTGGGAATAATTCCATAATCTGTACAGGTAGGAAGAACAGAGGATGCGTGTGCAAGAGAGAAATGGGGATTTCCCCTATATTCCTGTAGAATGCAAATCTCCCTTTTAAAAACTGTTCTTCCATTTCAATTTTTGCTTTTAGAACTTTTGAGTAAACCTCCCAGAGTTCACCACTGCATCCTTGCACCTGCTTCTAACTCTCTGCCTGCTCTCAGTCATGACAGAAGTGTGTCTGAGAGCTCCGTCATTTTATACTTTATCTCCTTGGAAACAAAAACAAAACCAAATCAACTAAACTCTCAAGTTTTAGAAGTTTTGTTTTGCCTAAGCTGTGCCCTGGCAGCTAACAGATTTGCTTCCTGACCAGTGTCTTATCGAATGGTTTATCTGGTACCGGTAAAGATGTTTGTTAAACCAACTACTGCACCAATTCCAAATGTTACCCTTTCACAGAAACACCTAGCTAGTCCAGTAGTCCAACAGTATTACTGCTGCCCTGAACCTCTGGGATGTTGAGCATACTCCAACTTTGTTTAGCTTTTTAACGTTCTCATGGGTTGAAATAAGAAAAACGAGACAAAAGTAGCAGAAGAACAAGCTGATGTGAGGTAGGGAACATACAACTAGACAGCGTCCTTCAGAGACCTGTATGCAAAGGACATTGAGGGTGGTAAGGTACCAAGAAGACTGTAAAGGAAGACAGTGTTTAAACTGCAGTGAGTGGAGGTAGCCCAAGTTTTTAATCACTGTACACACTACTGTAACAGAAGTTGTTGCCATATTCTGAGACGGTTGTTCCTCAGATTTGGAGGAACGTGTTAACAGAAGACTGCCATGCTGCATTTATTTCCCACCCATCTATTCCACATAGCAAGAACAAAGCTGCATCTTACGCTGGATCTCTGACATCTCTGGTGATGCGGTAATTCCAGTCACGGAAAAACTCATTTTCTTTGTCAAATTCACGCTCATCTTCTCCAATAGTCACAGTGAAACGCTTCTCCTCAAAGTCAGGCTCTTGTTCTTTTCTCATAGTTGCCTTTTTTAAGACCTGCCACAGCAAGAAATAAAAACATTGTATAGAGGGAACATTTCTGGGACAAAACAAATACTAGAATATTAAAAACCCTTCATTTGAGAGAAACCAGCTCTTCAACTGAAGTATCCTTCTCTGCAGGATGCTGGAATTTTCTTGACAAGAGAATACATAATTCACTCGTCCATCGGCTCAGAAGAAGAGCAGACAGTAATAAAACCTTCAGACACACAAACCCTGTTTTCTGAACTGATCAAAGGCACGGATCCTACAGGTGCTAGCAAAAGTGGCACTAAAGTGAGGGAAAACCGCACCAGTTTAAGAACAGTTTTCCTTTACTGAGGACTAGACTTCAACATCCCTGAACTGCTCAGGGCCACAAACTCTCTCTTGACCATATCGATAAGAAATCCACTCCCCCTCACTCGATGTCTTGACTGCAGAATAGCTGTAACATACAACAAGCAGCAGTTCACCGGTTAAAAAGCAAAAAGAAAGCTCCTTAAAAAGAACAAGATATTACATGCTCCAAAATAAGCTCAATTAGCATTCTGCCACCAACGAAACAGGTCAGTGGATTTTGGAGAAAAGTCAGCAGACTTACCTCTTTAGCGTGTCGGAGTCCTCTCTCCCAGGCACTTTCTGTTGGAGGGTCTGGAGGGGGTGGAGGTAAGATTTCATCCACTACTGGCCCTCCCTGTCAGGAGGGTAAGGAAAGGAAAGAGACAGACACCTGACATTAGTTCTTAAGTAGCAAACATGTACCTTGAAAACCAGTTACCCTGGAGAACCTCCAGATACCTTAGGAAAGTATCAGCAGGATATAAGCTGGGACACACATGGAAAATTATTCCCTTCTCCTAGCAACTTCAAAGAGACCTTTAAAAATTATATATCCAACAGATGTACTGAATTTTGCCAAGATCCTGGCTCAAATAAAACCTTCCCTTCTCCTAGGGCAGGAGACGAAAAGCTATGTCCAAAAGTCATAAATTCACACAAAACATGTCCGTACCCAAGGGTTGGCTGGCATCAGCGGATGAGGGCCAATAGGAGGTGCGCCATTTGGGGAGAAGGGCTCAGGCTTGGAGATCAAAGAGTAGTTTCCTTTGTCATTCACACCAGGGTGAATAAATCGACAGTTCATTCCCCAAGTACAGTGACCTGTGGAAAAACGCAGTTCCATTAGATCACCGTAAGCCTGAACATTACAACAACAGTTTGTTCAGCCCCCCAACCATCTAAAACCAGTCAAGAAATAATGCTGTTTTCAGACACCTAAACTTTCTTCTCTCCAACTATGTCTTCTCTCTTACTTCTATATGCATAGAAAGACACTTGCCACCCCCCCACCTTCCCAGACAGGACAAATTCAATAGATCCAGTCACAGATGAATGAACCTATGAGAACCTGACTCTTGCGGGGAGAAGGGAGGAGCGGATGCATACACACCATTAAGTGAAATCAATAATAAACCAATGAGTTCCTCAAGACTTATTAATGACAAATGCTTCAAGTTAGGAGCTTTATGTCTTGCAGAAAGGGATGAATAAATACAACCTGACAGGAAAGACAAAATCACAGCACATTCAAAATACAGAGCTCTGTGGTGAGGCAGGAAACACATCAAAGCTTTTTTCAGCTCACTTTGTGCACGTGCCAGCATAAAGGAGGAAAGGAGACATCGCTATGCAGGGCCAGGGAAAAGAAGTCTGAAGCTGCTCAGTAGATTAGCTCAAGTTATCACCCCCGAGGAGCCGGGAACACTCAGGGGTCTGTAACAGGGTACAAAGCTAGCTCCCCACTTCAATTTAGCTTGCCTTAAAAACAAAACCCACTTTTCCTTCTGGCAATTCCCTCCACATCAGGGGACACACATTTTGCAGGTTCACCGGTAGACATCTGCATTGCAAAGTCATCACTAATTCTGCGCTAGCTCTGGCATTAACACATTGACTTTAGGGGCAGTTTAGGGGCAACGGAGCAGTTAACACTGCTATCACCCAGGGAGGGCAACTTGTCAAAAATTTACACTGCACCTGGGTAAAGAGAAGCACTCAGGCTCCAGAAACGCTCCCCTACAGTCTCAGGTTAACCTTAAGAGGGCATTCTCAATCTGAGGTACTACTGGATACTTTTGTACTGTCAAATATAATGAGAGCACGCAAATCCCTTTACAGAGCCTCTCAATGACCGTCACATCCTTTCTCAATGACTAGCTGGACACTTGCCAGAAGAGGTCTGAAAGCAGAGCACAGACACCTACGCAAACACTTACTATTCTTACTGAAGTGTCAAGCAGAATGATTACCCGGACACGGAAGAGGCCCTGGTACATACGCCAAAGTATTTCACCGGAAGACTTCACAAACTAGTCATTCATGAAGCTGGACAGATGCAACCATGTGACACGCTCCCTCCGACAGAGCAAGGACTAAAACCTGTGCATCTTCAAGGTCCCACATGAGCAGTGTCTAAGCTCCTTGATGTCAGTAACGCCTTTACGGGGCAAGCAAGAGTTGGCATCAATGCTACCTGAACAACACAAAACTCTAAGGAAAACAACTACGGCAGGAGAGCCTTCAGCTTGAACTTTGACTTAGGCAAACATTTCCTTGCAGCATGGAGGTGTAAATCATGCTAAGAATTAAGGAACAAACAGCTCTACCCACAGAGGCACTTCCCTGTTCCATCACCACTACACCAAACTCATGTCTCCGCACAGGCAGAAAATTTGATACCGGAAGACTTTCAGGAAGCCAGGTAATCTCTGTTTGATGGTCATGTCTCTGGAAACCCCCTAACCAGTTCCCTACGTTGCATACGTCACTGACGCAAGGAATAAGAGACTCCACCCTGTTCTCCACCCTTCTTTTAATTTCAGATGTTAATAAATTGTTTCAAGGGTGATTGTAAATAAAACAAAGTAAGTGAGCAAACTGTAAGTTAGGTGAATTTGAAGAAAGAGGAACAGAGCTATAGTCAGTTTAAATAGGAAAAGCTTTACAAAACCTGCTCTTCCAATTAAAAAAATGTTGGTTATTCTAAGATAGCTGCGATACAGTTGCAGAAACTTTGGAGAATGTCTCACAAAGAGAAATCAACAATAAAAGAAATATAAGCAATTAGATTTTAAAATTGTAAGTCTTAGGTCTCACTTGCAGTAAGAATTGTTTTCTGATTTCCTGCCCCCCATTTCTTTTATTAGAGACTGAAAATACTAATCATACTTCAAAAAGGTAGTATCTGATACAGTACGGAGCAATCTTTCAGCTTGAAGAAAAAGTTTCTCTTTAAATGAAGGAATTTTTTTCCAGCTGACCTTTTCCTCTGTCCAGTGGAAGTACTGGCCACCACCGCTCCTCATCCTGTCAGGTGCAATGGCACCAAACATCAGGCTGGGGCTTCTGGATTGCGCATGAAAACAGCCCACATTTGAGTTGCCAACACCTGACACCACTACGCAGCCAAAGCAGAAATCTGTTCAACAGATGCATTTTAAAGCATGTCTGCGAGGGCTGCAGTGGCTCAGGGGGAGTCAGCATGATGTCACATTAATACTACTTATAGGAAAATAGTATTTCTAGCCCCATTTTTGATTAAAAAAAAAATCAGTGAATGCCTTCATAACTGTTTCGGGAAGCAAGCTGAATATGGGATTGCAAGAATCGATCACACTTTGGCAAGGCAGGAACTTGGTAAGACATGATGAGCATTTGCCATTTTCGTTTTCTGTGAGGCAACGCTTAAGAACTTCTTTAAGCAGTATTTGAATATTAAATCAGCCCAAGCAGTTTTATTCCATGACGTTTCAAAAAACACTATCGAGTTGTCCTTTATTTGCTTCTACTGGGATCACCATACTTAAGACAAAGCAATTTTAATCAAATGTCGCCTACTGACTCTGTGTAAATCAGCATCTGGCCACCAAGGAACAGGAAGGTGATACTGAGGATGCTTGGGGCAAAGTTTATCATGCAGAGACAGCAGCTTAACAGGTGCACAACGGAACAAGAAAATTTATAGCATATTTGCGTGCTCCCACCATTACAGCATGTCATTACCTTTCATAAAGAACCGGCAGGTGGGACGTGGCCTCACTTTTCTATCACTGGGATCTTTAACTTCTCCTTCTTCTAAGTCATCATCCTGGAACAGACAGAGAAGCTGACATTTCGAGCGGTGCATTTTTTGCAGTGACTTGACATTTCACAATATGGTCAAATCACAGTCACTGAAAATACACCCTGGAGCAAAACACAAAAGAAATGAAATATAAAGCTGTGATAAACACCCCAGAGCATCTTTGCAACATACAGCTACAAACAAGAAAAAACATCAGTTTCAGTGTTTCAAAGATGACCGCAAAACCTTTGAAGCATTATGGACATCTCGGGGCCGCAATGTAGGCCACAGTTCCAAGTTGCATTTTACTCGATGTATGTTTAAAGGCTCAAATTCAACAGTGCAGTAAATTAAGATTTTACCATACCTCAGCTGCACAATATGCAGGGATATGTGCTTTTAGCCCACTGCAGGTGCAAGGCAATT